GACAAATCATTCAAGATCAAAAGATTCTGGCTTGAGACTTGTGATAAGCTTATTGATTGCCAACAGGACACACATTGCGCGATGCTGCTGAGTTCTTCCCGCGTGCCAGCAAGCTAAACGTGATCCGGCACACATCTTGCTCCACGGAGTTAGCAAACTGCTGCAACTTGCTAGCTTCCTTCACCTGCTTAGCCGCACGGCCAGCAATGCAAAGGGCACTGTGCGCTCGGCCGGCAGACCATCTGCCCTGGCGCCGAGCTCTTTCAGGACTTGGGCTGGACACAAACTGCCTTGCCGGCGGATGATCCTGCGGCCATGCAACTCTTCCAACTACCAGCCTAGCCATGCTGTATTCACAGAAATTGAAACCAAAGTCCTCTGCTTGCCTCTGCTTGTGGATCCCGGGATCCAGAAGAGCGCACGCGTGCATATAATCCCCGCAATGCACGCATGGCTCCACGGATTCTTTAAAGGTTTTGATAACCATGGAATTGGAATTTTCTATTTGCGATTGGTTGTCATCTCTGGGGTCCGACAAGACATGACATGCCTAGGGCCAGCTGAGGCAGAACTGATTCAGTGTGCAGGGCACTACACATAGCAAAAAGGCACACAGCGCATGGCATGTTGGCATGCTGGCGTGCCTGGTACCGTGCTGAAGCAGGAGTCGTCCCAGCCCGCTTTTCCAATCCAGTGACATTCTCCAGCACACATATCCTGGGCAGTCACTTCATTGAGTTCAATTTTCAGTAGCTTAAGTTCAGCTTAAGCAGCTGTTAGTTTTTGACAAATGACCTGGGGCGGTATGCCCTGATAAATCTCGAAGTTTCCAAGAACGGACGAGCCTTCTCTGCCTTGGCATCAATACATACTGGAAACAAAGCAGAATGACAGGTCGGAATAATTCAAAACCAACCGTGCATGCATCAGAGCACTGAACTGCCGCCGGAAGTGAAAAGGGAGGTCACATCCGCAGCCTGATATCTCGTAGTAGATTCTTGGCTGAAGAGCTTGCACACAAATCCAGATATATAGATGTCGATGGGCTTGAAGCCCTACGGAATGTGGACATACAACACCACAACCCATAACTACTATCATGCAGCATGAGCGTGATGCATCAGGAGCCCCATCCTCTGATCCTGGAAGCGGGGGAGGTGGACAATGGCCATGATGCACAGCACACCTTCCACCCACCCTGCCATTCATTCATAGCACTGCCAGCGAACATAGAAGAGATGAGCATTGATCGTTGATCTCGAGAAAAAAACCCTGGTCCTGGCCTGGCAGATTCCAAGTCATGCCAGCAGTGGCCCACTTCCGCATTTTGCAGAAACCACCGCCGTGTTTCAGCCTCAAAGACTCATAAAAAGCCTCAAACCTCGCAACTGCCTGTCTGGATTACAAACAATCACAAATTTGTTGGTCGTCCTAATCCGTCCTGACAAGCAACATGTCTTTCTGAGGAAATCGGCTCAACGAAATTGCCAGGCCCCAGCAATTGTGTCAAAGCATGAGATGGAGAACCCGTACAGGAGCATGCTGATGCTATAACCTGGGTCCCGCATGCACGCACCACTAGAAATGAAATGTAACTTGTGACGGACTGCCACTAATTGCAAGCTAGAAGACGAGTGGTTGAGATAACGATGCCTGGAATAAAGCCTCTGACTTCCCCGCGGCCGACAGAAAATGACAGGCCCAATTAGCCACGGGCCATGCATCTTCCCACGACTCCGATGCTACGTCCATTCCCGAAACATCCCCATCCAGAGCATCGTCACGAGGGCTGGAACGAGATCGGCTGCGAGACCTCGCAAAAAAAAAAGATTTCACTTTGAGCAGCGCTTTATCCACGAACAGCTGGATTCAGCTGGATGCTATCAAGCCACGCAGACCTTGTAGGTGCACTGTCGGCAGCTGCACCGCCACCATACAATCGTCTCAGAAACATACTTCTAGGAACCCTTTAACTTGCACTGATCATTATTATCAAGTCATCTATTCTAAATCACCAGTTAAGGATCCGGGAAAGATCTCTATCGTCGTTGGCTGATATATGAAGAATTTCTGAAGAATTGTTTTCAACGACACATGTCTGATCTATCAAACGTCACTGGAGCGGGCGGCAGCAGACACGTCTCTGCCTCCTACGCACTTGCGTCTCCTGCACTGCTAGGCCAGCCGCCTCGGTGTCCAACTATCGGAAGCATCACATATTTCACAGAATATGAATATAACAAGCCTCTTTTATACCCATACCAATCTCATCATAGCACGTAGTGACTTCTTTTGAACCTCATTCCAAGCCAATTTCAACCTCCAAATCAACCATTTCCGACCCCTACTTCAACACCACTTATGTCGGTTCTTGACCCCAGATCCTTAAAAAACGTTTTAAGCATATAATGGGTTTTACAATGTATGTATGTATGTGCATACATTCCAGAAAGCGAGGTCCACCATTCTCTTGGCAACGAGATGGTAAGAAGCTGTGTCGCCCTCCTGTCCATTCCGTTGAATCGGACGCTTGCATTTCTACTTCCCCTCTGTCGAATCCACACTCTGTGATCTCGCGCGACCACGGCAGCATGCTCGTTGTACATCTTTGGCCTGCATAGCCTCTGACTGCTGTTCTCGATATCGAGTTCCTCGTAAGTGGCCCCTTTCATGTGTACGCACGGCCAACTCGGGCAAGTCCCCCTTGAAACTTGCCAGGGTACAGAAACCAACCCAAAGCTTCTCACACGCCTTCACAGCCAAAGGGGACATTTATTTCTGCTCCCAAATCCGACGATATGCTCCGTCACACCCTTGTTGCGAGGGAGTGCCGTCGCTTCCGATTCGACTTTCAAGCTGACACCGCTGGCCTTCATACTCAGTTGTCCGTCAGAACCCCGTCCACAAAAAAACCGTTGCCCTCAGCGCTGCCACCATATGCCACCGATGTATCTACCCGAAAATTGAGCTGGGGTTCGTCCAAAACACGTCTGACCACATGTCAAGTTCGTGAGGCCGGGCTGCGGCAGTCACGCGCCATGCTAACATGCACTACAGCTGATACCAAAAATCCCAAGTACAGTAACCACAGAGTTCCTCGAGGGTCTGGAGGTCGTTGCCTTTGTCGCTCTTGAGGCTCAGCTGGATGTCGTAAAACCTGGGTTGCAAGACGGCGCAACGCTGAGACATCGCACACGACAGCTGCTCACCAGAACTCTGAGTGTTCAAACGTTTCGCGCCGGCTGGAGGTGTAGTCGACCTCTGCATGACATGCACAGAATACTCCTTGCCAGATGAACCGATGGCTGAGCTGGCGGCGTCTAGACACTCAATGTGGTTTTCCATCTCGCCCTCAAAAAGCCTGTTTTCCAGAGTTGTGGGCTGAATAAATGCAGCGTCGGCCTGAGTTGCTATCAGTGGGAACAGCGCCTCTTGATGGAGCCGGCACTCTCCGTGTTTTCCATCTGCTCCTGCATGCCAATAATCCATTACGGGCTGCGCGGTTGCTACCAGTACGGCACTCGCACGCGATTTGCAACTGGCCTCGAGCCGATCACAGAAGATCCTGTTCAGCTCCTGCAGGCAATGGTCGTGCCAGCCACCTGAATATTCCTCTGAATCCGGCAAGTGTCCTGCACGTCATGCTGGATGAAAGGGTCCTCCGCATCCCAACCGAAAGACTCCGTGAGCTCCATGCAGTTCACGGCCTGGCAAAGGCAGGACATTTCACTGTGGATGATCTCTTCCTTTCAATGTCTCTGCCGCCTGCTTGGAGGTCTGCAGTCGGTAGAAGACGTTCTGCAGCGCCTGGCGCTTGCATCATGTTGCATGATTCGCTAGGAGTTTAAGTCGAACGTAGACGCATCCGCACCTCGATCATGGGGAGGGCCTAAACAAAATCGAGCGGATCGAAAGTCAGCGTTTTGCAGTGCTGTGCTCGAAGCCCCAAATGACGGCCTGATTCTCGCAGTCAACGGCATAAACACTTCGCCTACTACGCGGCTCAGCAAAATCCGGGAGACCAAGGGAATTCTGCCAGCAGCCCTGCCTGACTTCGCCCACATGAAAAAGCATTTGAAGCAAGCTGTTCAGGTAGCACCTCCGCAGCGGGAGTTGGGGGGGGGGGGGGGGGGGCGCAAAACCTCAGCATGCAAGACCAAAACTCCCCAAGTCGGCGTTGTGCCATGGTTCACCAGTCCAACGTAGCCGGTCTCATTCCTGGCCACCGGTTTCACGATTCTCCAATTCAACAGTGCCGCGCAGCGTCCCTTGCGACTGCAGGTCGGAGCGTCACTTAATTGCATATGCTGGTGGGTTGCTGGGTTAGGTTCGTCTTTTGTGGCTGGCTGTGTTTCCATTGGTATGGTAGTAGGACCAGCAGGAATCTCTAAGCCTGCTGCAACACATTGAAAGCACTGCCTGCAAGCTGGCTCAATTATGAACACCCGCGGCTCAGTGCCAATGACATCAGTACATGCCATCGCCGACAAGCATGCTGGGCACTGAAACCTAAATCTGATTTAGAGACAGAATGCATCAACAAGTTACTACAACCAACCTGTATGAAGATAGAATGCGTTACTAAGTTACTACAACCGTACTTCTGCTCAAGGAGGCTCTCATGCTCGCGAAAGCATGATCGCAGTCCCAGCCTTTGTAGGTTAAGCTCACCTCGAAAGTTGGGACGCAAAACGTCAGCGAACAAGAAGATAGAGGCACAGCGAATCTGACGCTTGATGGCCGTTTTCCTTGAGGTGCGTGCAATGCGAGATGCTATACATCGGTGGCCTTCCCTGGGCCATGCGTTGGGGTTTTACCCCAACAAGCAAACCCCAAAAACCGACGCCGGCCAGCATTGCTCTTGGCCACGAACATCCAAAGCGGTCGGCGATGGCTCCCTCATCATCGCCAACTTGCTGACTCACGGCCTATATCGTCATCGAAATACAACACAGTGCCGGTTCAGACGCTAGACATCGCCCGCCACTTGCGGGCCAAGTCTAGGGACTGGTGTTCATCCGACGCCTCTTTAGCTTTGCAGATGTGCACAGCTGCGCCCAGGCATTCATGACATCCGCAGTGCCGAGGAACTGGGCTGCGGCTGAGTGGCGGGCAGACTTCTCGTTATCACATGTAGCTCCTGTAAATGTGCCCCAGTGCTGGATCGTCAGTGTGGCGCGCCATGTTGCACGAGTTTCTGCGTCTCTCCCCTCGACATCCTGAAAAGAATATTCACCGGACACCTTGCGATGCGATCGTGATTTCTTTAAGAACTGCTCCAGTATGTCCAGTGGCTCCCCATTACCATAGATATCTGGCAACTTCCAAGTGACGGCGATGGGTCCCTCATCATCACCGGCCATGGCCCGATGCAAACAGACACTACAGAAAGCCTCGCAAATCAAACCCTGCAAATGGCAAACGTGCTGCAATAGGTCCGCATTGAAGTCACAGATCCTACACACATCTGTTCAGCCAGATACTTCCACCAGCCTTTGGCAAGTTGCTTGCAACTACAAAATGCTACAAGTACGCCCATCCTTCAACAAGGACCTGCGAGATTGCAGAGAGCACTTCTGAGCCGCAGGCTCTATCGGCTGTATCTCTGCATCCGGCTCCCACCGCTCCTGCTCTTGCTGCTGCCCTGCTACTTGGAGGTTCATGGGTGGTCATAAGTGGGGTCATAAGTAGAGTAACGTTTGTTATCACATATACTAGGGTACCTAAAACTGCAAAGCATCTGCAATAGGATGTGTGCCAAGTAAGGCGTCATTGAAGCCAGCAAACATGGCGGGGAATGTGGGCAGCATGCTTCGCTGGCTTAGCTAAGTGTTTGTTGTTGTTGACTTGTGCCTTTCCGGCCGTGTCTCGAAGAACGTGCCTGCAGTTCACACAGGGCCATGTCTGGAGGCCTTGCCTGACTGCACTGGCAGGAGGAGAGCGCATCAAGAAGCCAAGCCCGCACCTTAGTTGCGCCAGGCGATACCCAATACCACCAATGCCCATCCAGGCTTGAAAGCTGGGGACGGCGCTGAATCACCAGAGAGCTCCCATGAAATCTCCACAGCCTTTCCGAGCAGTCTGCCAAGATTTCTAGCCTCCGAACAAGGGTACAAAAACTGCGCAAAATAGAGGTGGAGGTTCTGCCCGCACAAACCCCGAGTGACATTGCTGTCTCGGGACCACAGCAAGATGATGCTTGATCGCAGCTTTGGGTCAAGGGACGGAGACATTAAGCCTTGACAGGTACACAAGGACTTAAATTAGCATGCGAAAACCCTGACGGAATACATCAAAATGGCAGTATTCCATCGCAGGAACAGAAAGTGGGAGAGATGTACAGGATGATTCAAAACTGCCTTTATATAAGAGCCCAAGCCTCGCTCGTCGAAGAGGCCGCAGAGGCACAGGCCTTCCAAAGCAACGGCCAAGCACAAGCCGGGAATTCCGCGCATAATAGGACATGAAAAGAGCACTCCCGCCACCCGGTCCTCTGAAGGACATGCCGTTGATGGAGTGCTCGACTTCTGCAGCAAATACACGCGTCCGAGACCCGGCTCCCCACAACAGCTGAGCCCCTCAACCCGGACTCTGCGTTGTTAGAAACAGGAAACGCGTGAAACGGATGCCTCAACCACAACTTAACAAAGCTGTTCATCAGGAACTCGAGCAAGTAGCGACCTCAGAACATCCCAAATTGCATTGACGGACGTGGGACTGCAAATTGCCTGAGTCTTTCGGTTTCTGGCACGTCAGAAGTTACATCTCCGCAGCGGGCAACATTCTCCACAAGCACCTGTCATTGTCATCCTGCTCATGACATCAATATGCTCGAAGCAGTTTGAGGCACTCCTCATCTTGGTCACAACACGAAGTACAGCAGTCCTGACAGGCTGCTGTTTCCCCGTGTCATTTTGGCTCCACATCTCGGGACAGACAGCAACCGGCCTCGAAGCATAAGAGCTTGCCGAACGCAAGCCCCGTCCACTCCTTGCGACGATGCTCTTTGTCTCGAAATGTAAGTGGACTGCGCTTCTCGCACTATTCAGCCACGCCGCTAAGAACTGCCACGACGACATCACCGTTGACACATCTGCGAGGCTTTCCCTAGCATTCGACGCTGAGCGGGCATGAAGTAGCTTTTGTGAGTCGACTGTAGCCTTATAAACGCGGCTGAGAGGCCACTATACAAAAATACCCACCTGTATGTGGGGCCGGGGATTATCTCACAGGCCACTGCGTTATAAACCCTAAACAGTTCGGATTAGCTTTGCGAGCTGAGTCATGGAGACACGGCAGCGGAAAAACAGGCTGGTCACTCTCCAAATCCACCGGAGACCACCAACATGTTTTCGGGAGCCGGTTCCGCCCATGATTCGGTCTCAAGGGCGGCGTACGTTGGGGTCCTGAGATCTGAACATTCACTAGAACTAGCTGCATATTCTCAAAGCATGCCTTGTTGGAGCTTACGCCTGACTGGCGAGAGAGATTTTATAAGTCAAACACAGAATGCTAATATCAATATCGCCCTTTCTTGGTGCCCCCCAAACTCCCCCTCCCCCCCCTCCCCCTGCAAACTATCCAGCACCAGCCCACCCAGCAAAGACAAACTCTGGGACTCTAGGCCCTGGGGGCGACGCAAGTGTGATTGCTTCCTGTGCGTTTGCTTCCTGGACTTCCCGTTCCCGTGCCGCGCGTCTTCGACTCCACTGAGACTGAGACCACGTTTTTTTTTTGAGGCCAGCATGACGCCTATGCAGACTGTGAGTGGTCTTTGACTCACAGTATCACTACTGGCTGTGCTTGTGCGGTGCCGCCGCGGGCACGCCACCAGTCCTCGATCACAGTAAATGACCATGAATAGTTGTTCTCATAGTACGCTGCTCGAAGCTACATCTTTCCGTTCCGAGGCTGCGGCGATGTGTTGGTTGCCTCGTTTCACGTCACTTATTGGAGCGTATGCAAGCCGGCTTCATGCTCTTCATGCTAGCTTGCTAGCTCCCGGCCGTTGATTTGCCCTTCTTCGGCAAGCCCATCTCGTCGCGAAACCAGAGCATGACCTGCAACACATCGATCAGGGAAACAAGGTTTTGCCAGTCTGCAGATCGAAACCGAGGGCAAGGCAGGAGACATGCATCTGAGGACCGTCACCAAAGTCTGAACAAAGGCAAACGCACGACTCACACACGCATGCCACGATGCTCTGCACGCTGCTGGGGGCGCAGGCAAAGAGCATGTGGAAGACGACCCCTCAGCAAAGTTTCAACACGGCCAAAGCTCTTCCAGCACTCTGGAAGTGGCGCTTCCGGCTCCCGGCCTTCTTCGCTAAGGAAAAGCTGCGGCAGTCGCAGAGCAACGGCAAGGCCCAGGCCTCCATGACAAAAGCTTCCACCGGCGGTTTTGATTTTCCTGAATACTAAACGCCCGTCGCATTGCTGAGGCCTATGACGATCTTCACCCAGTGCTCTGCCAGCAGGTGGGCCAAGAGCTCTTCCTGAAAACCAACCAACAACGAGATTCCTCTATGGTTAGTCTTGAGCCCTTTAAACTTTGAGCCTAACAACCCTTGCTCAGACACACGCACACGCACGCAAACACAGACGCTGACACCGACACAAACACGCTGGAACCAATGTCAAGTATACTGGAGTTACGATCACGGAAAAGAAGCACTATTTTTCGATCTGAGCCCAAAGGCGCCTGCATACAGCAGGATTGTGTGTGGGTCTTATGCCATGCTAGTGACTGCTAGTGCGTCTATCGTCCTTTACGATAGCACTGCAGAGGTCAACACGCCTCCGCAATGTTCCTAAAGACAGGAGATTTCACAAACACACCCCCACACACCCCCACACACACACACACACACACACACAGAGACAGACAGGCGCAACCCTCTACAGCCTAAACCCCAAGCCGCTCGGCCGAAGCCCGAAACCTACAAGGCCGAAGCCCTGGTCTCTTCCGCTTCGCCTGGGAGAGGACTGAAAGTCGCTGGCTGCCTGCTGCACTGGGCCTGGCCGGCATGGAACAGCTTCTCTGCACCCGACAGTCCTACAAGTTCTGCAAATCTCTGCGCGAGCCTCCTCGACTTGGCATGGAAAATCATGACAGTGTTAATTACATGCGATTTACAAACCTTCACCTATTCATGCACACTTCTTGCGGATGACCCAACGACAACCGCCCGGCGTGCTCGGGGATGGGAGCCCCCGTCGGGCCGCCCGTGGCCTCGGGAGCATGGAATAGGTGAGTAGGTGAAATGATGCCTGCCGGGCATGCCCTGTGTTGGTGCTGGTTCGAGGGTTGTGTGCTAGAGATACTGCTCAAACTTCCACTGCAGTAGCCGGTGCAACGATACGGATCACTTTGATTAGCTCACTGTAATCTCTCCACATGTGTTGAGAATTGAAAACTTGGTGCTGGAATCGAGGCACTTTCTTCTAATGCGCACAGTATCTTGGCCAGTATGGGCGTCCCTATCATCGTGCTCATCATCATTGTCATGGTTTTCATGGCCATCATGTCATCGTCATCATCACCACCATCCTCACCATGACCATTACCGTCCCTGCGACCGGCACTGCCGTCGTCACAGACTTATCTTCTCCGGTCTTCTGAGAATCCGGGCGGCCTTGGCCAGCGCGTTGGCCATGGCCTTCTGAGACATGATCTCGCGACCTGAGGTCCGCCGATGGGAGGCTGAAGCGGCCGATGGAGCAGCTTTCGAGTGCGGGACCAGTTCGCTTTCGGCCGATGGACTCCAGAAAGATCTGCATCCTGAGCTTTTTTCATGCGTTGAACCTTCGTCTCTCCTCTTCCGGTCTTTCATTGGCTGACCCGACTACGATGACGATGTCAAGGAAGAAGATGCAAACCTCAGAATCGTGTCTGAATGGAAGTCCAAACCTCGATTACAGTCGGGGCCCCTCAGCGAGTGTCTCACCATAGAATCATTTACAACACAGCAGAAGCAGAATGCTTGCTAAGATATGCGCAGGAGGCGGACAGAGGCACACCGGCGACGGACAGGCACACTACCCTTCAGCCAAGCCCTTCACGCAGTCCTCTGCACCCTGGCTAAGGCAGCAGAGATGAGAATGGAGGACATGACATGGAGACACGCGGACCGGTCGGGGACGGGAGATAATCGGCTTTGGACAGGGGAAGCCTCAGGAAGGCCTTGCTGCAGAGAGTCGACGCTTCAACAGTGCGGCAGGAAACGTGCGAAGACTGGCAGCTGCGTCCACCTAACTCTTTCGTGTGGCGCCAAAAGTGGGCGTGAATGGCCGAAGAAATCCAGATGAGGAAGACCCGCAGATGCCTGTGGTCCCAAGTTAGCCTAAGTTCTTTCACGGAACCATAGAGACATCTTGGAAGGCCCCGCGACCGCAACAAATCACTGGCATGGAGGAAACGTGTCAAAGATGGGCCATTCCCGGACTGAGAGCTCCGCCCAAAACAGGAGCCTGAGCTGAACCGAGAGCAGTTCGCTTCAGCTTGGGGGCTGATGGATCTACACATCACTTTGCTTAGCTAGACTCTGTCAGCCCTCCTGTCAGGCTCCGGCGTGAGACCCGAACTGATCCATGTGACCGCTGTTTTGGCGCCCTGCTCAGGGAACGCGGGGCCCTTGAACCTGGCGATACCTGAGGTCTCTCCAAGCAAGCCCTACCTTGGCCTCTGGCGCTGGACCTGACAGCAGCTGACAGCATCTCGAGGTGTCGTTCCGCAGATGTCGAGCTCTGATAAAGAAGCCCACTCCTTCTGAAAAGGACTTTCGGTCGTTTTGGGGCCGCCCTTGAAGGCAGTGGTTCAACCCTTCCAAGCAGCCGGATTCAACGCCACTCCTATCTACGGCACAGCACCTGTAGACCTCAACAGAGGCACCAATCGAGGAGCTGTCAATTCACAAAAAGTCTCGCTATAACAGGCGCTTCGGGCGCTTGGAGCAGGTCGAGGGTCGAGACGCCTTGCAGCCCTCCTAAGATAAGAAGCGATGCAAGTCCACTTACCTGACTTGCCTGCTACCCCCTCCTGTTGGCACTTGGGCATCGCGGTCCGCCGTGCTTGCCGCTTATGACCACATAAGCCGCTATAGTCCAGTTTTTCACTTTCGGTTGGACGCTCGCTGCTGCGCTTGCTCCGGGTTCTCGCGCGACTCAGGCGGAAGACACGCGAGCAAAGCCCTACCAAGAAAGAGAAAGCACTGCTGCCACCAACGCCCTGTGACTCCTATATGACTCATTAAGGGCTCTACGAGGAAGAGGCTCCCGCCCGTCGCCGCTGTCCTGGAGCAACGACGCCGATCGGAGCCTCCTTCGGCTGGCTATGGCTGGGCCTCGATGCGCGGCATCGGCACGAAATCGCCGGCTGCCAGCGCTGCCTCTGCAGCCGTTCCGGTTACGGTACTTGAAAAGAGCTCGGCGGTCACTCGGAACCCAGCCGCCGTGCCCGCCACCCCGGCGGCGCGGCCGGCCACCTGACAAAACAAGCTGAGCGTCGCGGAGTCGTACGTTCTACTGCCAGGGCCTCAGCCGCCGCGCGCCGAGCGGCTTCCACCTCATGGAAGGCTCAAGCAGGCTTCTGAGCAGAAGGCAATAGAGCCTCCACAGACCTGCTGCACCCGAAGCTGCACATCCTGCGAGACACGGCGACGCTCTGTGACGCTTTTCATGCTCTGTTTCCTCGACTCCCTTTTCTACCCATGCACCTCCGAGACGCTGCTAGCATCACGGAGCGGCGCCGGCAGCCCCGCCTCTGATAGAACGAAAACAACATGAGAAAACGTGCAGAAGAGCTCCACTCATCTTCGTCCTCCAGGTGCTGGTCCAGGAGCCCCAAGACCAAATGCAGCTCGTCGGCCACACGCCTCTGAGATGAGGAGCTGGAAGGAAAGAAGCCCCCACAGAGTCCCGACGGGCCCCGGGCCCCAAGGCTCCACGCAATTTCTGGAGATCCTCTGAGGCCAGGCCATAGCTGCAGGCCCAGCGCCCCCCCCGCCGCCCCCCCATCACCGGCAGTTTTTTTGTGTGTCCTCGGATCCGATGACCAGCGCACCAGCACCTGGACCTGGGAAATGGAAGCCTCCCCCCCCCCAAAAAAAAGATGTTCTCTTCAGAGCTGAGCTCTTGGCCAGTGGCAAGGAGCCCACTGGGCCCAGGGTTGCCCTGTGCCAGCCAGGGTGCCTCAGGAGTTTTTCCCATGGCACGGAGCCTCTCTTTCTGGCGCTCTGCCGCGGCTCTGCCTGCACCAGCCAGGGAGCCCAGGAGACCTCGTCAGAACCCGTTTTGTGCACTGGGCGGCCCCGAGAATTCTCGGCGCCCGGCAAGTGGCCGCATCCGCAAGATTCGGCTTTTCCTGTTGCGGCCTTACACACAGAAGCAGAAGCACAAGCGTGCAAGAGGAATCCCTCTTCACTCGGGTTCCGGCCAAGCCACGGCTGCGAACACGGCCGGATCTAATCTTTCTAGCTGCTGTCTGGCATGTGCACAGATCTCGGTTGGTTTGGGTCCACCTGGGTGCTGGAGACTCTCGCGGCTGGTCGCTGTGATGAGGCTTCACTGTGCCATTATGATCCATGATCCACTATGCCTGTCTCATGAGTTGCTGCTTTGCCTGCACGGCGTATATCGAGAACGCTTGGGCTTGGAACGTGCAGAACGCTTGAGGCTTTGTTCCTAACCGCAGGCCGGTGCGAAACTCTAGTGCGGGCACAAAAAGAGGGACTGTGCGAGCAGCGCATGCCGGGTGCATCTCAAAGACACCACGGCTGCAGCAGTGGGCATTACAGAACTCCCTGGCTGCCGTTTGCTTTCCAAGGCTGTCCGGCACGCCATATTTGTCGGAAATGATAGCTTGCACGCAGCACACGCTGCACAGAATACGGCGTTCGCATGCTCACAACCTCCCATGTGCAAGGGCTTGATATTGCCTAGCTACGACATGCAAGGAACTAAACATGAGTCCTAGATTTCATGCACACATACATAAACACACACGGCACTCGAAAGATTCCCCGTGACGCCGCTGACTTTCTCCAAGGGCTTTTCTGCCGGCACTAGAGCAAGCGGGCCTACACACAGGAGATTGGAAGTGTTCAGAGCACATGACTTGGAATTGAAACCACGGCTGAACCCTCGAAGGCAACAGCCACAGCCATGACACGTCTGCAGGCATTGGACAGTACTGCATTTGATATCATGGTCTACTGTGTCCCATTGTGGCATTCCGGGACAAGGTGGTCTCTGCACAGGGAGACAAGGTCCAACTTGTTCCTTACAACCATCATGGGCCCATTCCTGGAGTGCACCCTGAGGGTGTTGTACTTGACCTGAAGATCGTCTGGATGCCGTTCTAAAGCCCCGCCTAGCGGGTTTAATGACTGAGTCGGGACGCTGTCCGGGATACCTGGCAGTGATGGCAGGATGGTGCCAAGGCCTGGACGTGCTCGCGAGCGGTGTGGCGCTTGGTAGATGCAAGGAAGGTGATGGACAGACGAGGCTTCTGGGGACAAAGTTGAGAGCAAGGCCATACGTACTGTCAGGTTGACCTTCTTACTGCAGCCTCTTATGCGGAACAGGTTTGTTCATAGTGTGGCCCAGGACGAACATGGCCCCAGAGACACTTTCTTCACCGTTTTGGACGGGGAAGCTGCAGACTGTTGGGCTTGCGGCGCTCTGCATACCAATGCCGTTCTTTTCATTCGCCTGGCAGCGTCCAAACACAAACTACAAAAGTCCGCATGCGGGAAGGGACAAGCCGAAGAACAACGATGCATCAACGGAAAACTTCAACGGCTTGGCATCTATGTCCAAGGCGCACGGGTGCAACACTTCGAGGGGAACCTGCACTTCTGGCTGCCGAAGAGCATGGGGCAGATGCCACATTACATACTCACCCTTCCTGCAGCACTTGATGTACTCAATCTGCCGAGGGAACCCTCAACCGGTGCCATGAGCACATGATCAGCTTTCGCTCTGAGAAGATGTTGTTGCGTATCGAGAACCTGATGCGAATAGATGTCACTGTCTGAGGACGTAGTCGAAAGCAAGCGACATTCCTTCGTGTCATGTACCAACGGGCGTGAGATTGACATTGGGGTCGTGAGAACCGCTGATCCAGTTGCTGTGCCACAGGAAACGCGTGGCCTCTCCTGAAGAAAGCGTTCATGTTTGCGAGGCTGCTATAAAGCGAAGAGCATGTCAGTACCACTCCATCGGGGAAACGACAGCTTTTGCTAACCTGGAGACAGCATGTTACCTTGGCCCACAACCGAAATGCCGATTGAATGGCTTATGGTGCACAGTAGCGACTGTCGCTCAAACCAGGGCGCAGCAGCCCGGGATCTCGGCGCCAACCCAAGCCACGGACCAGGCCAGACATGATCTTCTTCGAATCAAAAGCAGTGCCAGCAGCAGTAGCAGCAGCAGCCGTCGCACTCGTTTCCGCGACTCCCTTCCTTCCGTGGTTGCCAACGCCGTCACTACCCCGGACGATGGCCAGCACTGGGTCGCAGGAGCCGTCAAAGAGAGCAGGACCATGGTTGCAACTTGTTCAAGCACTGAGTTTGACAACACAAGAAAGCTTTCCGAAGAGAAGGAATAGCCAGGAAGATCAACAATCAGAGGCAACAGCACGCTTAGGCGGCTGCGGGATCCCTGACTCCTTGCCCTCTCTTTTCTGCGCTGAACTCCGCAGCATGAGCCAAGTTCTCTCACTGAGACGTCTTAGGTCATGCCTTGGGGGGTGTTGTGCTGCTAAGCGCTCGCCAGGAAGCTGCTAGCCTTGAAGTGTCGCCTTGAAGTTCTCTGCTAGCAGAGGCACTCGATTCGAGCCGGAATCGCCGCGGCATTCAAAGGTCTCATCTGCACTCACATGGCCCGACGCCACTTCGAGCCCCGCTCCGACGTCCAAAAGCTCCCACGGTGCCCAGTGCGGCCAGCGTGTGAAGGTCGGGAACGACGATACACGGAAGGAATAAAGCTCACCGGCCTCGAAGCTTTGGCCTAGTTCGGCCAAGAGTTGCCGATCCAGAAAGGAGACGTCCAGCAACGTCTGCGACAGGAGGAAGCCCAAATCAAACCACACGACATCCTCAAGTGCCCGAGCAGGAAGTGTAAGAACCAGAATGTCAAGAGCTCGCCTCAAATTCAGCCTTCCCCGTACCAAGGAGTGGAAGGCGGCGCGTGAGAGCAGCTCTTGTCGGGTGGACGGCGGAGCGCTCGCGAGCGGCGCGAAGGTCTTGAAGCTCTGCATCTTCCACGCGGCCGATCTGCGAATCAGGAAGGTGTGGTAGGGGTGGTTGCCGGTGTACTTTCGCAGTGCAAAGTGGTTGCCGACTGCGTCTGGCCTCCAATTCGCCAGGAGTGGCCCACCAAGAACCATCAATGCAACGAAGATCAGCAAAGGCGATGCGAGGATGCCGGGATCTGACTTCAGCGGTTGGGTATCCATTATGCCGAAGAGGTACGCAGTGCTCGCTGCATTGAAGAGGTTCCACTCGCCAACAGCCCCAGGAGGCATCAGGAAGACGATGCAGAGGTGTAGGCCAACAGCAAGCACAACGCCGGTCGTCTGCAGCCTCTCCCAAGGACAGACAAGAAGTCCTGGGCAAAAGATCTCCAACAGGACAACGCACGCACTAGCCATGCCAGCAGCCGGCGAGAACCGCAAGACTTGAAGCCGTCCACCAGCATCACGCCTGAACATCTTCTCCTTGAGGCACTGGGGCAGGAAGGGGCAGAAGCCAAGCATGCTCGGCAAAACCTCTGGGAACCAAGGCCCCATCTTCGCCACCCCTGGCATAAAGAGGTGCGCGAGCTGGACAAGCTGGCAGCCAGCAGGCCCTTCAGGTCCAGAGCCTCCCTGAGCCAGACAGAGCAACAGAGGAAAGTAGTAAGCGCCACAGGAGCCGGTATAGGCTGTCCTGTCCAACAGACAAAGCAGCGTCAAGAGAAGCACGCTGAAGCGCAGCTTCGCAAGGCTTTCGTCCAAGCGGAGCGGGGAAATCAGGAAAGCTGAGGCGCTGCAGAGGTAGAGCAAGAAGAGCAGTTGGTCAGCTGGCCCGCGCTTACGTGGAAAGGCCGAGAAAGGCAGCAGCGGCTGCTTCAGTGTACCGGCTGTCAGCCGGTACCAGAGTGGCTCCAGAAAGCTTTGGTTTCTGCCAAGTGGACCAGTCATATTGCCAAAGCCGCAAATCTCCAGGACAGCTGTCCAGAGTGTCACACGAGCAAAAGCCGACAGAAGGCTGTGTTGCAAGTCCACGCGGCATGCATAGATGGCGTAGCCCACATGCAGACAACAGGATAGTGCATAGATCAGTCCTCTGACACCATGATAGCAGTATACCCAGGGTGGGAAAATCCCGGACACAGCAGAGAGCTCGCCAGCCAGCTGGGTGCGGTCATGTACGGAGCAACGGAGGAAGTGCTTCTCTTCTTCGGGCCCTAGGCCGAAAGGTGTCTGCCACCACACGGAGCCCGGGCCCGTGCCGTTGCTCGTGGCATAGTTGAACAATGCCATCAAGCTCGATGCGACCACCTTGCAGAGAGAGAGAGAGAGAGAGAGAGAGAGAGAGAAGAGAGAGAAGAGGGAGGAGAGGGAGGAGAGGGAGGGAGAGAGAAGAGGGAGGGAGGGAGGGAGGGAGGGAGAGAAGTCTCAGAGGTTGATACGTCGGGATTGGAGTTAACTTGATAGCTGCTTTCTGCTCAGGAGAAGACGAGAGAAAGCAGGTTCTGGAGAACTCCAGTTCTGGGCTGACGCAGGCTTCTTCCAAACACCTACAACTGGGCCGGGATTCTGTCGACTAGACCGACTAACTCGCCAGGCAAGTCGCTGCTGTGGCTTGTCAGTCACATGAAAGCAAGCCGCAGAAGATGCCGCACCAGTCCTAGACCTGACCAGGCACCGTGCTTGCCGCTCAGCTAGCAAGCAGCGTCCACATGTTTTGCACATCCTGAGGTGGAGGCGGTAGCGTGACGAAAAGCACGCCGAAGCTTCTTCGTTTCACGACGGCGCCGTCGCCGCCACTCGAGGTAGTATTGCAAAGCTTCAGGGTCGTCAGTCAGGGAGAGAAATTCGGCGCCGCCATTGTGGCAAACGACAGCAGTCTCAGCTTTTCCAGCTTGCTTAATTGTTGTGCAACATCCCCGTTCAGCCTAGTCTTTCTGTGATCTCCTTGTCGTTTGCATGTCACTGGGATCAGCGTCCAAGGTGATGGAGGGCTTTCCGGATCCTTGAAACAATGCCTTTCAAGGAGGAGGATGCTTTCCATGGTAAAATGCATGGAGTTGCATTCTGGACAAGTGCCTCTTGCTGCTTCAGGGGCTCCATCCGATGTTCTGTCTGCGCCTGTGAAAATGTTAGGATACCGGATACCTGATAGCTCATTTCAGCATAATTTCACACATTTGTGTAAATAAGGCTCGAAACGTGTTGAGTCCGGCTTATGTGGGTATATTGTTCGTAGGTGTAAATTTCTGCAAGGCGAACGCATGGGTACTCTTGTACACTGTGTGAGCCTGCGAGAACCTCACGGAGTCTACGGTGGCTCTGAGTGTGGGAGTTTCCTGGAGAACTTTTTCTTCAAGAGACTCGTCAGGCTGCGGCTCCGGCGCCTGGCAGCGGGCAAAGGACAAAGAGGACTCAGACCTGGGAACTGGAGCGCCTCTGGAGGAGCAGAGGGCGCTTGCAGAGCCTGCGATTGGAAGCTCATACAAAAAAACTCCCCAGCCGCAGCCCCCTGCGCCTCGGCGTCCGACTCAGCTGGCTTATGCTGAGCTGGCTCCGGGTCGCCCGTCTCTTCGGCGGAGGGCACGGGCTCCCCCTCAAAGAGAGGCGGGTTGTGGCAGCCCAGGCTCCGCCCCTTCTCTCAGCAGTGGGCCAGCTCCACGGGGTGCTGGGCCATGTAGAAGAGCAAGTAGGGGTGCTGCCTGGGCTGTGCGTTTTTCTCGCGGCTCTCCTCACTGCGCGAAAAACGCCTGGGCTACCCGGCTCCTCCACGTCGCACCACTGGACTTGTCGCACCATCTCGTCATCGATGTGGTACCTCACAGCGAAGAGCGGGCCAAGCTGTCTGCAGGAAGGAACATGCGTTGTCTGCATGTGCACGTCTCTGCCTGCGTGGGTGTGTGAGAGCGTGTGCGAGTGTCCATCCGTCTGTTCACACGGCCCGTCCGTCTGTCATGTCATGCCCCCAAACCAAACCCTCTGCGCCGTCTACTGGCTCTTAGGATTTTTGCTCCCGTCGTTTACGCCGCAAAGTTCAAGATCATGGTCTGCCCTCCTTAACTTAAAGTAAAAGACGATGACAGTCGATCTCTACAGCCGGAACTTCCCGGCAAAGAGGGGGCCATGTCTCGTGGCGATCGCGGGCATAGGCCACGTAGTGTCCCGAAGCCGTCGAGCCCCTGCAGTGGCCAGCGGCGAACACGAAAGAGCAGCGCAGCGACACCACACAGCTCTACGTGATGCACGCCCCCTTCCCCTTCCCTTTCCCCTTCCCGGAGTCTCCGGAGGTCATGGTGGACACACATCGCGTAGAGCTGGTAGAGGAGCCCTGCAGGCCAGTCCGGAAGGCGGAAGCGCTCCGGCGACAGCAGCGTGGGGGCCTTCACCGTTCTGATCTCGATGGAATCTCTCCCGGTCAGAGGCCGGAATCCACGGACCTGGTGAACCGAGGCACCCAATTCTAGTGCACCCCGCTTCTGGATCGCTCTGGATGCCGGCTGAGGTCAAGCTCCAGCGGAAAGCTCACCCTCAAGGACGCGGGCGCTGCAGAAAAGACAAACCTGCCGCTTGCAGTGCCTCCTGTTGATCTTGCCGAACAAGTTCGTGTCCTGCCGGCGGGCTTTCAGTTGCAACTCCTTGCCAATGCTTCACTGCTTGCTCCATCCTGACGGCGGTCGATGTAGACGACGAAGACCTCGGGTACCCGGGACCACGGAACAAGCAACGAGGTCAGCTCATGTTGTGCGTCCGATGCCGCGGTTCCAGCATGACGAGCGGAAATGTTGCCAAAATCCGGCACGAGACGAACGCTGGGGAAAGATTCGAGGCAACCAGCCCGGGAGATCCTAAGCCTTAAGCCATACTTCTGAAGACATATCCCCGGAACACGGTGACGGAACGGTGGCCGCGAACATCTCGTGGTTAGGTCTTATCAAAATCACCCTTTCCTATGTGAAGGGTTTGGGCCAAGATAGGCCTAGTTGCAGTTCAAACCTCCGCAAGCGACAAACATCTGGCAAGCACTTCGGAAAGAGTAATGCAGTAAGGCCACACTTCACAAGCTGCAATCTTCATCATCCTTCTGTCAAAGATGGTAACAGTGCGAATAGTGAGTCCGCATTGCAAGTTAACTCCGCAGGTGGAGACAGGCAGAGGCAAAGTCGACTGGAGGCCTAGTAGGGCCCTTTTTGCACACGAAAACGGAGGAGTAGAGATGGCCCATGCGACAGGGCGCAATGTTGCGGGATTCTCTCAAGGACATACCCCTTCGCCCCCCTTCTGCGGTGTTCGTTTTGGCCCCAACTCAGATTCGAAAGACTTTGACTTGGCTGCCTCGAAGCCGAGGCCGGAACATTCGGCCTCCGACGTAGGAAGGACGTGCGACAGGCACCTTGCTTCTTGCACCTGCAGTCGGAGTCGCACGTGCCCTTGATCCATGCCACGGAACCTCCCGAGACGATGGCTTTTCACACTTGAAATCTGCGATGTGCTCCTCCTTGGTGTACCTCAGCATTAGGATCCCCCGAGCTAGAGACTTCAGCGACGGCCCTGCAGCACTCGTCCAGCAGCTTCGCCAGTGACGTCGGGCTCGCCGAAGACTCCGAGGTCCGGCCTCAAAGAGAGTCAAAGAGAGAAGAGACGCAAAAAGAGAGCGCTCCGAGGCACGAGAGTCTTTGACAAAAAGAGCGTGCAAGACGAGAGCTGGCAGCTGCAGCTGGCGGCTCTGGGGCCTGGGCCGGGCAGCGGCCGCCGAAGGCACCAGCGGTTCATCTGCTTCTCGGCGCTCTCCTTCGCAACCCCCCGCTTTCACCCCCCTCCCTGTTGGGCTTTCCCAAGCCCCTTCAGCCTGCCGGCACTTCTGCAGCTCTTCATCCGTCATGCCGAGCGTCACCGTGAGACATAGGCAGTACTCAACCTGTCATTCCGAGCCCAAAGGCGGATGGATTGCTTGTGCTCCGGAAAAAAGAAGGACAGAAGAGGGGACTCCGCAATCGGCACTAGCGCATGACCCCGTGCACCCTGTCAGCAAGGTGCACTGCCCCACCCGCGTCACCAAGGACTCGTAGCTACAGGCGTTGCAGGCCACGCGAGAACCTGATGCTGGGCTGGTAATCTGCTAATTATTTTCCGATGCACACCAACGCATTGTGAATGGCATCCAGGGAGGCGGCCCATCAACATACTGAACACATGGCCAACCATGCTGCTGGCCTGGTATGAGACGGATTGTCGGCTTTCACTCCATGAGACTCTTATAAGGCTCCTCCAGCTGCTCCTTCTCAGCGTACCTGTGCACGTGAAGGAATCTGAAGCCGGGCGAAGGCCCCTGCTCTTCGCTACGCTTCGCTCCGCTTCGCCCCCTTCGCTCCGCGCACCCGAGCTTGGAGCAATCGCCAGATCCGTCGCCGACCTTTCCCCAGACCGCACCCTAAACCGTTCTTAACTATTCTAAAATCCCCCGCCCCCCACAAAAAAGTCGAACCACTCGAAGAAGCTCCGGCCCAGCTTTCTGCCTTGACGCAGCCGTTGAGCCAGCGCGAGAGCAGGAGCATCAGGGCTTCGTGGGCGTCCGCTTGCCTCCCAAAGGCAAACTCCTCCGAGGCCTCCCGGTGGGTGCTGTGACGTTTTCTTTTATGAGCGGGAAAATGGCTGCCCATCTCAAACCCGCTTTCCGCCTCGGTGATCAGCCGTTGGAGCCGCCTGGGCAAATCCACCTCAGAGCCCGGACCCCCAGCGGCTGCGCAGAGGAGGCCGCAGAGGCCGGCACGTAGCGGGCGCCCTTGCGCTTCGCCCCGTCCATGAGGCGGCCTCGAGCGCTTGGACGGCGCCCGTGCACACCTTTAAACCTCTTGCGCCTCTTTTTGCAACCGCTGCTCTTAAAGCCTGTTTACGCCTCTAGACACCTGCTGTCATGCCTCGGCCACGCCTCTTAATGCCTTTCCACGCTTGGCAGAGAAGGCGCTTGAAGACGCTGAAGACGCCCCCCACTTCGGGCCCACACGGAGAACTCCTATCGTAGCCTCTAGCCCTTCTTTGCCCTCTCTTCCCTTCGGGCGCGGGGCTAAGGTTCAGGAGCTCGGCGAGCCAGGGCTCCTTCGGGGCGGGAGAGAAGGGACGTTCGGCTATGGAGACCCTTAGGGACAAATCGCTTCAGGCCTCCGGAGGCTCGGGGCAGGTTTCACGCAGGTGCTGCCGCAGCAGAGGCGTGTGGAGAAGGCACTGACACACCTTAGTGGCTCAAGCCGCCTGGAAGCCTTGGCGGAGGGCCTGCCTTCTGCCTTGTGCAGCCTGCAAGAGCCATCTGGAATCTTTTGCAAACCAAGTCGTCGCCGTCCCCCTCAGGTCTCCAGCACAAACCGGGCAGATTGGCCCAGTTGCGTCAGTTAGGGAATAAGTAATTCAATTTGGTACAGGAAAAAGCGGCCGACATCGTACCGAATTTGGCGATTCACGCCCAGTCCGTCTGGCCTGGTGCGGAATCGAAAAGTTTCGTTAATGATTCGGAGTTTAGGAGCCTGGGTGGGCTAAAGGCTCCTACTCATGCCTGCTGCATTGCCACAGCCAAACTTAGCAAATGCGCGCTTAAGCTGACCCGAAACCTTCGATCACCTGGGCAGAGCAATGCGAGCAAGTCTATCTTCCGACCCCCTCAGCGGCTGCCTGCGATTGGGCCGCTGGGGTGGTCTGGGGGTGAACCCTAGGCCTTAGTCCCTTGCGGGCTCTTTGGTTGGCTCAATCAGCGCAACCGGGTTCATGGGAAACCCATTCTTGGGTCTAAAGCTGAAACACAACTCGCTCGGGTTCAGGGCCGCGGCTTCTGCCCGCAGTACCCTTGCCGCCCTTGCCTCGATCAGTCTGAGCACCTCTGGCGCCCTTCCTTCCTCTGCCTTTGGCACCTTTTCCGCTCGAATCGCCGGAACCCCTGCCGCCCTGGCCTGGCCTTGGCTCTTCGCGGGAACCTGAAGAAGCAAAGAGCACTCCTAAGGTCCTTTCGGGGAATATAGTCGCCCTCAAAGGCCCTTATGCGCCTACCTTGGCCCAGCCTGCTTCCGCAAGACCTGGGTTGGTTGGTCTCCTTAGTCACAAGACGGGGGGATCATGCGACGACCCAAAGCGATGGGAGACAGATCCAGTGAGGAGCGAGATGAGAGTCGTCGCGAATCCTCCACTCTGTCATTTCTGAGGGGAGCTTGACTTGGCACCTAGGTCTGGGGTTGTCAGATCATTTCTGATTGCACTCTATTTCTCAAGAAAAACCGGCTCAGATCTTTCTCCGAAGTTTTGCAGGCTTTGGCCGGTGTGTTCTGTGCGGCTCCCAGGGATTACAGGCTCAGATCTTCATGGAAGTCTTGCAGGCGTTGGCTCTTTGGCTGCTGAGCTCCTCTTCCGTCCTGTTGGAATGGACCCTAAACTCAACACCGGTCGAACATCATGGGAGCCTTCGTACTGTCGCGTCACTCTAGTCTTGGCACTGGAAAGGGGCTAAAATCCTTGGTCCTTGGCGTCTGCGTGCAGGTGTTTGGGTGGCGGCCTTCTTCTTCGTGAAGGTTAATTTCGTGGAAAGACGAACTATTGATACTTGAAAACGCCTTTGATGTCCCTATCTGCAGGAATCATCGCCTAGTGGCTTTTCGTTTCATGGATGTCTTTGGACTTCAAGAAAGGACTTGGACTTAGAGCATTCAATCATTCCATTTTGCCAGACGCTGTCGCGCAAAGTGAAACACTGCTGATCCCACGCCTGCCTGTGGTGGGCCATTATAGTGGTCGTTGTGCAGAACATGGAAAGAGAACAGGCTGTTCATTACATGATTGGGTCGTGTCCTTTTCTGTCGAGGGTCAGCGCGCCGGCCTCTTTCTACCCTTGACGGAATCCCTGAGCGGGTATATGCTCGCACGCAGCACGCGGATGTGTCACGAGTGCGGTTTTCGAACAGTTTGAACGAGTCAAACGGGAGCGAGATTGGGGAAACCGAAGATGCAAAAGTTCGGAGAATGAAAAGATTCAATTTTTCAACGTGGAATTGACAACCATGGCGAGTTACGAGTTTGCATGATTGAGCGGAATCCGGTTTGAAAGTTTGAAGCCGTGGCAGCGTTCGAACTCTCTATCTCTGTGTCTCTCCAAAAATTGAAACCTTTCGGCGTTTGACGAAGTCAAGCTTTCGACCTTTCCACAGCCGCTCGAACCAGTCTTTCGAACTTCCCATCCGTTCAATCTCGGGCTTGCTAGATTCGAACTCCAACCTGGGAGGCACGCCGTGGACACACCTGCGTCTTCCGCCTCACATCCGTCACTCATGAGTGACTTCAGTTTCAGAGTGTGGAAGCTCGGAGCGAGAAGACTTTGACAGTTTGAAGGTTTAGCAGATGTTGAATTTGTTGAGATTGAAAACGCGCAATTGAGGTTTTGTGTGGGTGTAGCAAATTTGTACCTTGATTCAAAAGACGAGGCATGTTCGACACATTGGGTCAGCGGCCACCACCTAATGAGGGGGGGAGTTGAAGATGCGGGATCAACAGCCATCGAATAATATCGCGGCAGAGTTTACGGATCAACCGCCAGCGCCTAATGAGGGGGCTGGTGTGAGATAGGAGGTCAATCGCAGTTACCGAATGAGAAGCGGATTTCCGCCATCGCCTCAAGGCGAGCTGGAACAACATAGGCTCATGGGAATATGATATTCTGACATCAGCCGCACTCGCCTATTGAGGGACCGGGTTTAAGTTAAAGGACCAGGTTTAAGTTAAGAGATGGGATCGACTGCACTTGCCGAATCAGAGGGTGTTTTGACACATGAATCAACCACCATCGCCTGCTGAGGGGGCGGGTTACGATATGAGACCAAGCGCAACCGGCTATCGAGGGGTCGGCCTTAACCGCCATCACTTGATTATAATGAGGGGATCCAGGGTTTAAGATATGGGACCAGCTGCGGCCTTTCAACCTTTCAATCTTTCATTCAAACTGTCGAACTCTGTGAAACGCAATGCCTCCCACACTGGCGCTCAACGTCTTTTGCTCTTGCTTGAGCCACCAGTTCGGCGGTCAGGTCGCAGCTCCACGGTGATCAGTGATCAACCGTGTTGCTCGTGTCGATACATGTACGCAAATCTGTTCGTACACCCGTGGACGTTTTAAAGACCTAGACCGCCTGCTTGGCAGCCTTTTTCGAGGTACGGTCCCTATCTATCTGTAAACACCCCGGTTTCAAGTGCTCGTCCAACTGTACACCCTTCATCTTCTTCGTTAAGGTCCTTGAAAGGGTGATCTCTTCTTTCTCGACTGGTTTCTCGCCCTCCTCGTCGACAATCGCTGTTCATCGAGCTCCTTGCCTTGGGGAAGAAAGGTCGCGAGGTCGAGGTCGCCATAGACAGCGCCCAGTGTGAGAGGGGTACGAAGGAATTCAGAAAACAAATTCGAAAACGGATCGGACGATATCAGAAAATACCGGACCAAATCAGAAAACAAAGTCGGAAAACGGACAGCCGATATCAGGAAAACGGACGCACAAAAATCAGAAAACCAGACGGACACTGTCAGAAAATACGACGGACCGGATCAGAAAACAGGAAAACGAAAGGCAAACAGAGCCACTGCAATGGCGTGACGGGCAAACTCGCGTAAGACTTCCCATGTTGTTGGAGACCACACATCTGTACAGAAGCGCCGCTCTGCATTGCTAGGTTTGTGGCCAAAACCGAGGGGTGAAAGGAGCGAGTCCTTCCTTCGCCTCTCGGCTCGTGGCCAAAACCGAGCGGTGAAAGGACCGCGGCCTTCCTTCACCCCCTGCATGGTTTGTCAACAAAGCCGAATGGTGAAAGGAGCGCAGCCTTCCTTCACCTCTCGGTTTGTGACCAAAACCGAGGGGATGAAAAGACCGCGACCTTCTTTCACCGCTCGGATTGTAACCTTAAACCGAGGGGTGAAGGAGCGCGGCCTTCCTTCACCTCCAAAACCGACGGGTGAAAGGACCGCGGCCTTCCTTCACCGTTCGGTTTGTGGCCAAAACCGAGGCGTGAAAGGACCGCGGCCTTCCTTCACCTCTTGCATGGTTTGTGGCCAAAACCGAAGGGTGAAAGGAGCGAGTCCTTGCTTCACCTCTCAGCTTGTGGCCAAAACCGGGGGATGAAAGAAGCACGGCATTCCTTCACCTCTTGGTTTGTGGCAAAAACCGAAGGGTGAAAGGAGCGCGGCCTTCCATCACCTCTCGGTTTGTGGCCAAAACAGAGGGGTGAAAGGAGCGTGGCCTCCCTTCACCTCTCGATTTGTAGCCAAAACAGAAAGGTGAAAGGAGCGCGGCCTTCCTTCACCTCCCGGCTTGCGGGCCTTCACCTTCCGAGGGGTGAAAGGACCGCCGCCTTCCTTCATGCGTCGGTTTGTGGCCAAACCTCTCGGTTTGTGGCCAAAACCGAGGCGTGAAAGGATCGCGGCCTTCCTTCACCTCTTGCGTGGTTTGTGGCCAAAACCGAGGGGTGAAAGGAGCGAGTCCTTCCTTCGCCTCTCAGCTTGTGGCCAAAACCGAGGGGTGAAAAAAGCGCGTCCTTACCTCTCGGCCAAAACCGAGGGGTGAAAGGAGCGCGGCCTTCCTTCACATCTCGGTTTGTGGCAAAAACCGAAGGGTGAAAGGAGCGCGGCCTTCCTTCACATCTCGGTTTGTGGCCAGCACAGAGGGGTGAAAGGAGCGCGGCCTTCCATCACCTCTCGGTTTGTGGCCAAAACAGCGGGGTGAAAGGAGCGTGGCCTCCCTTAACCTCTCGATTTGTAGCCAAAACAGAAAGGTGAAAGGAGCGCGGCCTTCCTTCACCTCCCGGCTTGTGGGCCTTCACCTTTCGGTTTGTGGCCAAAGCCGAGGGGTGAAAGGACCGCGGCCTTCCTTCACCCCCTGCATGGTTTTTGGCCAAAACCGAGGGGTGAAAGGAGCGAGTCCTTCCTTCACATCTCGGTTTGTGGCCCAAACCGAGGAGTGAAAGGACCGCGGCCTTCCTTGACCTCTTGCATGGTTTGTGGCCAAAACCGAAGGGTGAAAGGAGCGAGTCCTTGCTTCACCTCTCGGCTTGTGGCCAAAACCCAGGGCTGAAAGGACCGCGGCATTCCTTCACCTCCCGGCTTGTGGGCCTTCACCTTCCGAGGGGTGAAAGGACCGCCGCCTTCCTTCATGTGTCGGTTTGTGGCCAAAACCGACGGGTGAAAGGAGCGAGTCCTTCCTTCACCTCTCGGTTTGTGGCCAAAACCGAGGCGTGAAAGGATCGCGGCCTTCCTTCACCTCTTGCGTGGTTTGTGGCCAAAACCGAGGGGTGAAAGGAGCGAGTCCTTCCTTCGCCTTTCGGCTTGTGGCCAAAACCGAGGGGTGAAAAAAGCGCGTCCTTACCTCTCGGCCAAAACCGAGGGGTGAAAGGAGCGCGGCCTTCCTTCACATCTCGGTTTGTGGCAAAATCGAGGGTGAAAGGAGCGCGGCCTTCCTTCACGTCTCGGTTTGTGGCCAAAACCGAGGCGTGAAAGGACCGCGGCCTTCCTTCACCTCTTGCATGGTTTGTGGCCAAAACCGAAAGGTGAAAGGAGCGAGTCCTTCCTTCACCTCTCGGCTTGTGGCCAACACCGAGGGGAGAAAAAAGCGCGGCCTTACCTCTCGGCCAAAACCGAGGGGTGAAAGGAGCGCGGCCTTCCTTCACCTCTCGGTTTGTGGCAAAAATCGAGGGTGAAAGGAGCGCGGCCTTCCTTCACGTCTCGGTTTGTGGCCCAAACCGAGGATTGAAAGGACCGCGGCCTTCCATCACCTCTCGGTTTGTGCCAAAACAGAGGGGTGAAAGGAGCGCGGCCTCCCTTCACCTCTCGATGTATAGCCAAAACAGAAAGGTGAAAGGAGCGCAGCCTTCCTTCACCTCCCGGTTTGTGGGCCTTCAATTTTGGGTTTGTGGCCAAAGCCGAGGGGTGAAAGGAGCGAGTCCTTCCTTCACCTCTGGGCTTGTGGCAAAAACCTAGGGGTGAAAGGAGCGAGTCCTTCCTTCACCTCGCGGCTTGTGGCCAAAACCACGGGGTGAAAGGACCGCGGCCTTCCTTCACCTCTCGGTTTGTGGCCAAAACCGAGGGATGAAAGGACCGCGGCATTCCTTCACCGCTCGGTTTGTAACCTTAAACCGAGGGGTGAAAGGAGCGCGGGCTTCCTTCACCTCCAAGACCGACGGGTGAAAGGACCGCGGCCTTCCTTCACCGCTCGGTTTGTGGCCAAGACCGAGGCGTGAAAGGATCGCGGCCTTCCTTCACCTCTTGCGTGGTTTGTGGCCAAAACCGAGGGGTGAAAGGAGCGAGTCCTTCCTTCGGCCTTCCTTCACCTCTCGGTTTGTGGCAAAAACCGAAGGGTGAAAGGAGCGCGGCCTTCCTTCACATCTCGGTTTGTGGCCCAAACCGAGGAGTGAAAGGACCGCGGCCTTCCATCACCTCTCGGTTTGTGGCCAAAACAGAGGGGTGAAAGGAGCGTGGCCTCCCTTCACCTCTCGATTTGTAGCCAAAACAGAAAGGTGAAAGGAGCGCGGCCTTCCTTCACCTCCCGGCTTGCGGGCCTTCACCTTCCGAGGGGTGAAAGGACCGCCGCCTTCCTTCATGTGTCGGTTTGTGGCAAAAACCTGGGGTGAAAGGAGCGCGGCCTTCCTTCACCTCTCGGTTTGTGGCCAAAACCGAAGGGTGAAAGGACCGCGGCCAGGCTGCGCCTCGTGCTGATCCACGTCTGCCAAGATGAGGTCTTAGAAGAATCACCGCAAGGTCACGGCAGGATTTGCTGAAGGCTTAGGGTCGTACAGCGATTTTTGGCTATTTTCTGATTTTTTGTTACATCCGTCTTCTGTTTTTCTCTTTCCTGTTTTCTGATTGTGTTTTTTGATTCTGGGTCTGATATCGTCTTTGTTGTTTTCTGATTCCGGTTTTGTGAGCCTGACCGGCCGTTTTCGGAAATCCCTCTCCGTGTTTTCCGACTTTGTTTTGTTGATTTCGCCCCTTGTTTTCCGATATCCTCTTCACCCAGAGGTCCATCTTCAGCTTGGTCTGTTGCTTGGCTATCTTCCTCAAGAGCTTCAGCAGGAAAGGCCTCCCGCACCATAATGCGGCCCAGGTCGAAGAGGTGGGCGTCGACGATTTTCTTGCTGATCTCCTCGGTCCATCCGGTAGTCTGTTAGCACTCTTCCAATTTGTTGGCGTTGGTGTCCTCCCGGGCAACGGCCGGAAAGTGCAAGGTTCTGCTTCAGTTGCCAGGAGGTCGTCAACATGGCCATTGGCTTCTTGATCGCCTGGTTGTTGTGGTTGCCGCGCAGGCCAAAAGGCACACAGGTCATATTCGAGCTTCTCCAGGCTTCCACGGCCCGCACCGTTCCGTCAAATCCTTGATGTCCCAGGTCGACCAAAGATCCGGTGCGGCAGGGTTAACCAAAAGCACTTGCCGTCCTCTCTGGATGAGTTCCTTGATGACGTCACATATCCAGTGAACACTTGGCAACCATCTTTTGCACTCGTAGTAGATCATGCCCTCCTGCTCCGGAGTCCTGTTTCGATTGGATCGCACTGACCTGCTGCATTCCCTCGACCGTGGTTGTGGTCGAGGGCAATGGGCTTAGACACGGAGTACCGTACTGCTGGCGTGCTACTCCAAAAAGCACCGCGCAGCCAAACACCTCCAAGAGAACCCACATGGTAGGCAATTTCTTCGGCGAGAGCTGTACGGGCATCTGGCCGCCGTGGTCGTCACTGTTGGTAGGTCGGCTCGTTCTTGTATTTCCACACTGTAGCCAGGCCAGGGCGTTCGCTCGATCCTGTATAAGTGATCATTGCCGAAGAGGACGCCGCGGCGTCAAAGCAAAGCTCGGCCGAAGTTCTGGAGGTATTCGCGCAGGACCCCGTGGCTCATCGAAAACGGTCATGGTCCGGAGGAGGCGAAGGGCCTCTCGCACAGCACTCCCCCTCACATCCTAACCTGAACCATCCTCGTATGCACCGCGGCCTGCAGCTCGCTCCGCCTCCTCTGAAGTGACGTAGGTTTCCTCGTCGTGGTTGGGCTCCACGGTGTGAGCCCGTGATGTTCCACCTGTTGGTATTGCTCCAAGGGCTTCCTGCAACATGCGGTCCTCCATCTCCTTGCTGGCTGGTAAGAGCGAGCGGCTAGTCCATACCATTGGGGCCGTCGCTCGGCCTGTTCCACAGCACTGGGGCCACCAAGCTCCAATGCCCGTCGGGGCTGTTCTGGTCGTCTTGTTGCAAGTCGATCGAAGGGGGGCGCGGTCGAAGAGGTCCACGGTAAAGCCAGGTTGGATGTCCTTTCTGTTGCCGGTGCCCCTTCTTCACGGATGCTGAAGTAGATCGCTCGGGGCTTGTTGCGGTTGCCCTTTGGCTGGCCGCCTTTCCCAGGCGAACTTGAGGAAGTTGGCGAGGTTGAGCCTATGTCTATGTGCTCCTTGGCCACAGTGAGCTCCTCCTCGTAACCGTGGTCGCCGTCCTGGTCTTCATCGGCAGGGGCGTCGTCATCAGCAGTCTCCTGGTCCCCGGCGCCGTCGGCGAGATAGCCCGTACGTCTCCACGGCTCGTTGCCGTGGGGTTCCAAGGTCTGTGTCCTTGGCATCCTCGGCCACCGGGTCCTTTTCCAATCGTGTTTTTTTTTCCATTGGGCCGCGCTTCTCTCGTTCATGGGCACCGCTATGCTGGGAAACCAACTCATCTGCCAAGCCAGCAAAGCTGAGGGTGCCTTCGAGCGCCGTCCTCACCATCAGCTGGTGGTCCTGACTCAGCCCTGTTGAGGCTAACAACTGCTCAGCAAAAACCATGTCTTGCAACTTCATCTCTGTGCTGCAGTCGACGAGGCATCGGTACCATGTCCTCCTTCTGAGGATATAGGTCGCCATTGGTTCTCCAGGTTGCTTTTCAAGACTTTCATGCACGGCGGCTCCGACCTGGCACAGCTCCCTTGCTTGCTACATCCGTTTCGGACGCAAGGTCTTCTCAGAGAGGTCGAGGAGCTTTCCAGGTCCGTCGTCTTTGGCGAGGTCGGTCATCTCCAAGTCTGGGCGGTGCGAGGTGCAGTCCCGCTCAAGCCCTCCACAAGCCTGAGCCCAAGGGCTCCTAGCTTTTCTCTTTAAATTTAGTCATCCTCTTTTCCTTGTGCTCCTTCGCCCGGACCCTGAACTTCGGCAAGAGGAGTCGGCTCGCCAATTGAAGCGAGGGATCCCAAACTTTCCCTCCGTGCCCTGGCCCACGTCTCCATCTTGTGCAATTCCAACAAAGCAGCCGTGGCTTTGCTACAGGCGCAGTGGTAACGAAAGGGCGGTTTATAAGGGCCTAGGAGCGTTGCTCCGCTACCAGCGTGAAAAGCAATGCCTCCCACTGGCACTCAAAGTCCTCTCCTCGGTGATCAAACGTGTTGCCTGCATGCCTGTACATGTTTGCAAATCTGTTCTGACAAACTCTCAAACTTGAAAACTCGGAACCCGGCGGACTTTCAAACTTTCGAACTCGACACGATTCAATCCTTCAAAGTGTTGTCAAGCCCTCGACTCAAACTCTCGAACTCTCAGGTCGTTCACGTTTTCCAACTCTCAAATCTCCAAATCTCTCAACGATTGAAGCTTTGGGAATGTCAAACTCTCGATGTCAGGGGCCAGCCCATACTAGCTAACCTCTCAAACTCCACACTGCTTTCGAACTTTCAAGCAGTCAAACTCTCAAGCTCCGAGAGCCTGTCGAACGCGGTCGCGGCTGAAGTTTGGAGATTGAGCTTGAAGCAGTGAGTCGAGCTCGAAAGTACGACAGTTTGAGAGGTTGCAGAAAAGTTGAAAGTTTCGAGCTTGAAAAGTTCGACCTGTGACGCCCGCTCGCATGCGCATACCAAACTTGCCCAAACCTTCGACCTCCGGCACCTGTCAAAGCTTGAAACTTTCAAGCTTCCACCGATACGAAGTTACGAAGTCTGAAAGCTTCGAGTTCAAGCTTTGAACTCTTTTTCAGCATCCTGCACGGAGAGGTGCGCCAAAGACTATAGCTGACTCCTGCAGGGTCTTTAAGTCCAAGCGTCCCTGCAGCGCGGGACGCACGGGCTCGCTGCTCCTCGTCGAGCAAGACCTCCTGAGGGAGGCGAGAGGCAGAGAGATTCGCTGATCCGCTTGGCCGGCGGGGGGGTGGGCCTGGCTCACGTGGCTTCGGATGGCCTCTGCCAAAGAAACCGGGACTCCTCCAGGGGGGGGTGAAAAACACAAGGCTCGGCTCTCCCTTCGCCTCGGATGCATCCGAAAAAAGAGCGGTCCTCCGCTGAAGACGCAGGGCGCCCTCGGGTCGCTGACGGCCTGTGACCCCGCGCATGCTCTCGCTCGCTCGCCCTCTCTCTGAAGACGCGCAATATCGGACTCTCTCCCGCCTTCCAGCCGCATTTTGCAAGAAAGAAGGCCAAGTTTCGAGCAAGTCCTTGAACGAAGGCTTCTGCAACCGCCGAGATGCCAGGATGCTCCGCGCCTCCAACACAAACTCTCCCTACTGCTTCCCTTGCTTCCTCTGCTGTGGGGTATTGGCTGCAAACAGGCCGCCGAGGTTGCAGACGTTCCGGAAGACGGTGAAGTAAGCTTTGCAGCTCGCGGGATCTTCGAAGTTCACAAAAGCCAACTTGGCCCATGGCAGGTAGACCTTGCGAGCGCACTTCAGAAAACGGACACAAATTTGAGGGGGGCCTCCCAGCTCCCCTTCCAACGCTCCCCTTGCCCTGAGAGCTTGGCAAAGTCATACCTTGGAGCCTGGAAGCCTCGGTCGGTGGAGCCCAGACAATCCAGCAACCAACTTATCATGGCACAAAGCATCACTTTCGAGGGTTACTTTCCCGAAATGCGACCAAGATCGGCGCCGAGGGCTGCTGTAGTGACATTGAGCATGGTCATGAGCTCCGGGTAGGTCATCTTCGAGAAGGTGCTTCGCAAGACCAGGGTTGTAGTACCTGAGAGACGGGCCCTCCAAATCCCAGTGCGCCCCAGCGGCACCCCCAGCGGCGCCCCCGGCGGCGCGCTTTCGCCCTGCCAGGCGCCCGGGCCATCACTCAAGGTGTCGGCCCCATGGAGCGAAGCATGCATGGCTCTTCGCCTCGGGTTCACAGTCTCCCGGCCACCTCTCGCTCTCTGCTCCTCTCTCTCTGCTCTCTCCGCTCTCTCCGCTCTCTCCGCTCTCTCCGCTCTCTGCGTCCGAGGCTCACCCTTTCGCATGCTGCTAGGACCCCTAAGGCGACATGGCTGCGGGCTGGGAGCCGACACATCACAGGCAAATCTCCGTCAACAAAGCGCGAAAGGCATGGACCTGACCTGGGTTTCCGGCTGCGCTGAGGTAGCAATTGTTGCTCCAGTTGGTAATGCCCACCCCAGGCTCCTGCAACGGCGGAAGGGTTTTTTTTGCTTTCCTAACGCTGGCGGTCCCCGATCTCAGTTGCTGACGTTGGCTCCTCGTTTTTGGTTGCAAATACTGTAAATTGCAGCGGTTGCCACTGGTTTGCATCAAGCTACTGGGGAATTGCAACTAGCAGCGCTTCGTTTTGCCCCAAGCTATTGAGGAATTACAATTTGCAGGGTCTTCTTTTGCTTCAATCCATTGGGGAAACAATTTGCAGGGTTTTGAGTTGTGTGTTGGGGAGTTCCAATTTGTAGGGTATTGTTTTGCCTCAAGCTATTGGGAGATGACAATTTCCAGGATCCTGTCTTGTGTCAAATTATTGGGGAATACAATTTGCAGGGTCTTGCCTCGTGTCAAACTATTGGGGAATTCCAATTTGAACGGTTTTGCGTTGTGTCAAGCCTTTGGGGAGTTCCAACTTGCAGTGCATTATGTTGCCCCAAGCTATTCTGGAGGCTCCTGTCCGTTGTCAAGTTTAGTGGGGGATTCCAATTTGCAAGGTCTTGCCTTACATCAGGCTATCGGGGAATTACAATTTGCAAGGTCCTGTTTTGCAGTAACTTCATGTGGGTTAATTTCATGGGAGTCACAAAAGGGGCGATTCCATCAAATTTCTTGAACACGCGAAATCATTGCGGTTCACCATGCAACTTAAAGACGCCCCTTCATGTAGCGACTCCGGTACATCATATATCTTAAACACGCCCCCTGCGATTCCGGCTATTCATAATGTATCCTAAACACCCCCATTATGTGGCGAGTCCGGCCCATCATATTTTGGAAACACGCCCCATCACTTGGCGATCCAGGTTCATCATACATCTTAAACAGGCCCTTTCATGTGACGATTATGGTTCATCATACATATATCTTCAACACGCCCCCTGCTATGGCGCTTCCTGTTCATCACAATCAATATATCTTAAACACGCTCCTCATGTGGCGATTCCGGTTCATCATATATCTTAAACACGGCCCCCTCGCCCCATGGGCGAGACCGGTTCATCATACATCTTAAGCACGCCCCCCTGATCACATACGAGTATCTTGAACACGCCCCGGCCCCCTCATTTGCTTATTCCGGTTCTGCACATGCGCTAAACTGCTAAACCCATTTGCAACCACAATGCCTGTATCAGGGGTTCTGAAAAGGATCCATATGCGTACTGTTTCTGCTGGCAAAATATCATTTTGAAGCCGAGTTGCACGGATGGAACAAGCTGGCCGGGGGGCTGACAAAGCAGTACAAGACACTGACAGGGAGCTGGCTGTGTGTGAAGGCTTGTCGATGGTGTCTTGATGCATGCCTGGGGAGGTCTTCTCATATGTGAACCAGCATGGTTCGTGCGAAAACTTAGAAGCGAGAGATGGCAGACATGACTTTGCATTCCGTGCACACGCACACACGTGTACTTACTAGTAACAGACACTCCAGGTAGATTGTGTTGTTGCTGCTGTTGCTGTTGAGCATATGTCTTAAACACTCTGTATCATTTGTCGATTCCCCTCAATTTTAATTTGGCGATTCCCATCATATTTCTTAAACACGCCCTTTCATGTGGTGATTCCGGCTATTCAAGAAATCTTGTCTTAAACACGCCCCCTCATGTGGCGATTCCGGTTCATCATAGATCTTCAACACACACACATCCTCCCCTTTTGGGCAATTCAGGTTCATCATATATCCCAGACACGCCCCCTCATTCAATCACAAATTAAATCTTAACCACGCCCCTCATCATATGTCGTACGCACGCCCCTTCACTTGGCCCCGCCCCCAACTTTTTACGGGCCGTAGCCTGTGGCCCACGACCCGGGCGACCCGCGGCAAGGCTAAAGAAGAGAGTGGAGCGGGTTAAGGGGCCGCAGGAGACCAGGACCAAAGGACCCGAGGACCAGGGACCAAAAACCAGCGGACCAGGACCAGAGGACCAGAGGATCACGGGGACCAGGTTGACCAAGGGCCAAAGCCAACCCTACCAAGTTACCAAGTTGCAAATACTAGAACACACTTGTTTTGTATGAAGCTACCGTGGGGAGGGACCAGTGGACCAGAGGACCAGAAGACCAGAACCCTACCCTACCAGAGGCCCCGGACGAAGAGCCAACGTTAAGAAAAAAACCGAGGCCCTCCTGCAACGAGTGCACACAACAGTTCGGTCGGTGGGTCTGTCGTGCTCCCCATGATAGTGTTCACGAGATCTCTGTATTCTTTGATTGTCTTTCATGCCGGCCCTTGTTTGCGCCTCCAAGTAGCTCGAGCTTTCCCGCCAGCGCGAACGGGCGAGCCTCCCACACAAGTTTGACGACACAATTCGCAGTTCAACGATTTGCGCATCGGCACTGTGCACTAATGTGAGCTCCCAAAATCGCCGGCTTTCCTGCAAATGAAAGCCGTGAAGCACGCATTATCTGCACACAGGGGCGCGCAAGACTTCTGCAAAGATGTACAGATACCGTGCAATCAACAGATGGGTAAATACATGAATGTCTATCGTATGGTACCAAATGTAACGCATGATTTGATTTGCTTTCTCTCTCTCTCTCTCTTTACCGGGCAAGAAGAGGCAGCGGACGCTACCCCTCCGCACGCGTACGCGCACCCGCGTGTCCTGGCGGGGTTTTAAGTTTCCTGCAGGAGTTTACTTCCCAGCAGGCTCGGCTATTCATGAGTCCACCAGCAGCTCCCCCTTGCGAAGCAACACAGCATATACATAACATGAACATGAAAGTCTGGGGGTCTGCTGGTTTCCCCCCGATTGGCCTCTGGAAAACACAGCAGCCCCTTCCCCCGCACGCGAACGCACAGCTGCGGGTCTTTGCCGGAAAGAGGTTCCACTGGGGGGGTTGCCCCCCCAGGGCTCGGCTATACAGTGGCTGTTCGAGCAGGTGCACCCACGCAAGCAAAAACAGTTAAAAAACAAACCCGACTGCAGACAACACTACACTCTGAGGGCCGGGCCGCCTTGGAGATTGTAGGGTCTCTCTTGAGCTTCCCGGCCTACTTAGGGTGTCCCACGGCTCGTTGTAGCTACTGCTCAAGTTCCCCCCTGCAGGACAACAAAGTAGCTTTGCATTTCATGTGGTGAGGTACTTGAGAAGGGGGGCCAGGGCAAAAACATGCATCTTTCACGGACTGTCACAAGTGGAGTGGATTTAATTGAAGCCATGGCTTGTCCCCCCGAATTCTGACTAGAACGGGAACGAATGGTACAGGTGTGTTGAAAAGAAGCCAGGATTTGAGGGCCTTATTTGGGCCAAGGAATGAGGTTTGCCCGAGAAAGCATTCACATGCTTATTTAAAGAGTTCACACCTACAGGTATACATGCAACCACGGATTTGTCCGATCAGCAAAGTCCCCCTCCTCAATGTCGGGAGTAAGAGCTTCCATGCCCCCACCAATTGCAGAAAAAGGAGGAAAATCCCCCATCATTGCGTCGCTCTCCGCTGTACTCGGGCTTGCTCCATGTGGGCCTGTACCGCCCTCACATTTTGCCACATAGGGTTGGGGACGAGACGAATCCCCCGGCTGTCTTCACTGAACACTTCACCTTGTTGTTGGGGTACTCCGGCGGGCTCACTGGGACGCTCTGCAAGGATCCCTTTGCTTTGCCCAGTGTCAGACGGGCGCCTCTTGTCCCCCCACGGCCAGCTAGCCAGTGCTTCTTCTTCGTCGGTCTCTCCTCCCCAATCTGGTGGGGTGTCACTGTCCGCTGGCTGCTCCATGGTCTCACGGGTTTTGTCATCCCCCGGGGTCTCCATTCTCACACGCTGTGTTGCGGTACTCCCCCGCGCGGTGAGTGTTGGTAGTCCGTCGTCTGCATCTTCAGCTCGGCGTGGGTCTTCTTCCCCCCCATGTTTGGCTTGTTCCACCTCTGCTGTCGTGCTGCCTCCCCTCTGCCGTCGAAGAACACCACGAATTTTTCTGGCCTTTTGGCAACCTGAGAGTTCTTCCAGAGGCCTTGTTGAGGTAGTCCCCCGAGTTGTTAGGCTTGTTGCCGGTGTAGCTGAAGCCTTCCCCGGAGCCGCCGATTGCGGCGCTCGTGCCTTCCCTGTCTTGTCTCCCCCCTTTGGCGGAGGGCTCCTGGTACGTTCACGAGGTGGAGCGGTAGCTTTCACAGCGACTCCATGCAGCCTGCAAGCCGGGTCTGTGCGGTCATGAATCTTCCGCATCCCAATGGTGCACGTCCCCTCTGCATATCTGCAGAGCCTACATGTCCCCTCCATGGCGCGCTTCACTATCTCGCGGTCGATGCCCAAGTCACGATCTCTGAGGTCAGGTTCCCCCGCCCAAGCGAAAAGGTAGGGCAGGATCAGTGTTGCCTCGGACAAAAGGGCCTTCACGGTGAAGAGCAATTTCCCCCCTCTGCCGGTGCTGCAAAAGAGTAGAACTTGCAGTTGCCAGGTCGCGGTCAGGGCTGTAGATGTCACGGCCTTTACCTTCTCGATTATGGCACAGTCCTAAGGGCCCCCCCCAGACGGGCCACTGGAGCGGAATGGCGACGGTCGAATGACTCAAGCCTCCCCCCGCCTGCAGGCTCGTCCACCCAGGGGGTAGCTGGGAACAGCCAGCTACCCCAAAGGGCCGGCCTCAGGCGCCCCCCAAGAGGAGCGGCGGGTCGACTTGAGCCAAAATGGCTACTCTCTCTCTCTCTCTCTCTCCCTACGCACGCAGCACGCACACATACACACGCACACACGCCGAAACACAGGTACGTACGTATGTATGTATGTATGTATGTATGTATGCATGGATGTATGTATGTATGTATGTATGTATGTATGTATGTCCTGAGACCCCCCGCTCCCGCACCCCATGGTATCCCCCTGCCCCCCTCTGTGGCCGGGTACCTGTGGTCTTGCTTGGGTTCCCGGTCTCTGCACGAATACTTACACCAATACAAACGCAATCATGCGTGCAAGTCACGGCTACGTGCCAGCCACTTTTGTTGCCCTGCATGTCCACAACTTGCGAGAATCAGGGGAAATATGACATCAAAGTGTCCAATCCCAGCGACTAGTAGCACCTGTCTGCCTGCCTGTTTGTCTCTCTGGATGTATTCATGTATGCATTTTCGTGTATGTATGTATGTATGTATGTATGTATGTATGTATGTATGTAGGTATGTATGTATGCGTATGAATATATGTATGGAGGGATGGATGTAAACTTGTTGTTTGCATTTACATATGCCGTCTCAGTTCGGAACCAGGAGCGGAAGCCGTCGCCGCAGAGGGGTACAGCAACGCTTGGAAGAAGATCTGACTCGGAGCGCCTCTTGGACAAGAGGCCCATCGCTCTTACAGGGCTTAGGACTTAGGCAACACTGGCGGGGGATCAAAAGCGAGCCCACCTCAACGGCGCCCCCGAACACTTAAGGTGAAGGAAGTCTGTTTGCCTCGTCGCCGGTCGGCAGACAGCTTTGTGCACTTTCCAGTGCTGCGCCTGCCATGATCCGAAGCCTTCAAGCCTTTATAAGGGCCTAACTGCGCAAGGAAACCTTGATCTTTGCGCCTGGCAGGCTTTGTCGCAGTAGGCTTCCTTCTTGCAGCGCCCGCACTGCGTCTTGGCGGTCCTCGCACGGTCCCCTTTTTTTTGTCGCTGGCCGTGCTTAAAGGGCGTCCTTCCGCAGGCGGCGCAGCGCAGGCCCTCCTGGAGAGGCGCTCTTTGCTCGCGCAGCAACGGGAAGGGGCTCTCTCCGCGCAGCAATGGCTCCCCGCGCCTTTGGTCGGGTCCCGGCCGGCTCCCTGCATCCAGAGAGAGGAATATGGACCGCGACTTCGGCACGGGGTCAAAAAGCGCCCAAGCGCCTCTTTTCTGCAGCTCCTTCCTCGGCGGCCTAGAGCAAAAGAAAAGGGGGCTGAAGAGCCTACGGGAAGGGCGCTGTGGGCCGGCCTCCGGGCGGCACCGCAGAGGTGCGGGGGAAGAGCCTTTGCCTTTGTCCCTGAGCCAAAGACGCAAAGACTGCCGCACTATTTCTCCAGCTTTTTTCTGCGGTTTCCATAAGACCTGTCGATCTTCAGGCGCTGAAATTCGCGGTGTGGATCCGCTTCAAGCGGGTGCTTACGGGAGCGCACAGCCGCTAGACCGCTAGACTTAGACAGGCCGCAGAGACGTCCTGTCACATGGTGGGGCTTCTGCAGCTGCCTGGGGCGGGAAGACCCGTGACTGGCGCTTTTTGTTGGCACGGCATCCAGCCTCGCTTTGACTGTGTCGCCGACACCTGAGGCTCGCGGATGTCAGGCGCAACAAAACTGCTTGGGACTTCTTGGTGATCGCACCGACAGACGAAGGAGGCCCCCGTTTCTTGCACGTTGGGGGTGGCTCAGAGCCACCGCCACAAAGGGATGCTGGTGTCACATCGAGCAGATGTGGCCTCAGAGAGACACCGTTTGGAGTGGAGCGGCTCATTGGACCCTGCTGAGTGGCCGTCCAAGGACCACACCAACGCAGAAACCTACAAAGAAGCGTTCTGAGCCACAGAGCCGCAAGGGGTGCCCCTGTGCTGTGAGAATTTGTCATGACTACCTGCAAGGATCTTGCAACAAGATGTTCTTTTTTTGTCGAGGAGAGGGTCACTTCTGGGCACTTCCGACCACGGCTGCAGGGCCTTGCCTATGCTTTGGGCACTTGCGGAGCATCCGGATCAGAAATTGGTGAAACAACGACGAGTGACTAGAGTACAAGGCGCGCGGATTCTGCATCTGCTGGCCGCTGCGCTCTTGAAATGATGGCGCCCCCTGCGTAGCTCTCTAGAAGACCTTCGCTCTTTTGCAAACACAAAACCCCACCTCCAGTAACATTGTGACCGAGCACCAGAAATCCGAAGGTGGAGTCCTGAGGGAGCGCAGGGCAACCGATCGGGCTGCTTGCGACAGCTTGCCTGGCACATGGCAATCGGCTGGAAACCTGGCCAAGCGCTGAGAGGCTCCCCTTTTCTTCTCGTGGGCTCTCCCCTTTTCTCCCTCAAGTCGCGGCCGCCGCACTCGCATCGGAGAAGCGCGCCCTGAGGGAGCACCGAGTTCGAAGGCGCCAAAAAGAAGAGGCACTTTGCGAGACACGCCTCCAGCGGCCGAGGCTCCGGGAAGAAAGCAGATCCCAGGCCTGCGGCGCAGACTGCGGTTTTTCAGCGGTTCGTCTCGTCTTTCCGTGACCCGACCGGCCTCCACATCTCCGCTGACCAGCAGCGCCCAGAGCAAGCCACCCCTGCAGCTCGCGCCAGCTTGCGAAGCCCCCCGGCCCAAGCTGCACGGCAAGGCGGGGCCCCCGCCGCTCCATGTGCAAAGCTGCCACCGCCTGAAAGGTCTTAGGACGAGTTTGAGACGGCTCGGCTTTCACCGGGCCGGCCTTGGAGGCGTCTTGGAGCGGAGCATCCAAGCCTCCAACAAACAAAAACGACTCTCCGTTTGTTTTCCCTGCCCCACTCCTTCCCCCTCCCTTTCTCCTGGCTGTAGCTTCGTGGGCTCGAGATGGAGGCCGCCCTCCTCCTCGATATGCCCTCTCACAGTCTCGCAGAGACAGAGAGAGATGAGAGAGGACTGAGAGGACAGCGAAAAAGGACGGAACTCTCAGTGCTCTCAGTGCCCTCGGGCCGGCCGGCGAGCGGAACGGCGGCCACAGGGATCAAGCGGCCGTCCCATCCTGGGCCGCGGCCGTCGCCGTGTGACTCCGACTCTCCCGCTCTACCCCGTTCTGCCCCGTTCTGCCCCGTTTTCCGGACCTGCGAGGAGCAAACAGAAGTCTGCCGAGGCCTCGCGTAAAGTCTGCGACTGCGCCAATGCCTCGAGGCACTTTCGCACCTCCTCCGGCAAGAGCGTCGCCACCTCCCAACTAAACCGACGTTCTCGCACTCCGCACTTGCACTCTTTGGCGGACGCGGTACGAATGGCACGGCCTGCTTGCAGGTCGTGATGCTGCCGGCCACTCGCAACCACGGCCTTGGCCCAGGGCCCCTCTTCAGTAACTTGCACCTCCTCACAGTACCCACATGAGGGCTCACACGGCACCAAAAGTGGGCCAAGCAGCGCTTGATCTTCCAACGCCAAAGCGCTTCGAGGATGGCCTTCCCGATCAGAAAAAGGCGTGGGCAAGGAGCAGTTCGCACATCCAGAGCCTGGACGCCACACCTCGATGCGGCCCTGGCGTGCAAAGAAGTTCGATGACTCCACGCGCGGGCGTTCAACGGCTTGGCCTCTGCTGGTGCGAAGAGGAGGCATTGAGCAAAGGAGCCGGCACAGGCCGAACCGACGGCAGGCAGACGGCCACGCCAGACCTGCAAATCTCTGCAGTCGGAGAGTCCTCGTTGGGGAGGAAAGGGGGGCCTCGTCCAGGCGCACAAAGGAGGACCCTTGGCTTTCACCGGCTCCCACGGGAGCGGCGGCATACACGGCCTCGGCGGCTGCAGCTAATCCCAGTCGTCTGCTTTCTGTCTCTCTCGTCTTAAACAAAAACTCTGCTCGCAACTGGAACCCCTTGTAAGGACGCCGGCGAAAGGGCTCGCGACAAGGAAAGATTGCCCTTCCGGGCAGAGAAGTCCCTCACGCAAGCACACGCATCACGTTTTTTGGGACTACCACAGCTTCGCTGACCTGTGGCCGGAAGAAGCTCCCGTGAGGCCAATCCTTGCGGCACCGCGAAGGAGAACTAAACAAGCTGCAGCTGAGCCACCGGCAATGGCCATCTGATCGAACGGCCAAACTGAGCGTTCCGGATTCGAAGGGCACACGGCTCACACCGGGCGAGCCCGCGCCTTTGGCCTCACATAACCTGAAAGCATTCTGCAAAGTCTGAGCGACAGCTCCTCACCCCGCCCAGGCCCGTCGGGTCCGCCTCCGCTCGTGGGCCGGGTGCTGCTGGAAGTCCACCTGGTAGACGTGGACCTTTCCGGCACAAGCAGCTGAAGCTCTTGGAACTGGCAGACTCACGAGCCTCCTTGAGAAAAGCCATGAGACCCGACCTTGGTGGCAGCCACAAAGGGGTGGCTTTATCAGAATACACATCACCCCGAGTGCGAACGCTGTTTCAGAGACTTGTACAGCAATGGCAAGAATTCCCGTCAGAACAGATACGTCGCGGGCGCTGGGTTGTAGGCATTTTTCGTTGCAGTCTAGAGCACTTTTCGATCTTGATTTTATATGTGAAGGGTCATAACAAAACCGTTCCCCACCATGAAAGGGAAATTTGAGGGCCTCCGAACGAAAGCTCTGCTTCTTTTGGCCGGTGGATGTCGGCCCGGCAGGTTACGGTAAGCGACTTTCTCCGTAGTAGTCGTAATGGTAAATTTTATTGGTGGTAGGTAGTAGTTGTAGCAGCAGCAGTGGCAGCAGCAGCAGTAGCAGTAGCAGTATTAGTAGCAGCAGCAGGAGAAGCAGCAGTAGCAGTAGCGATAGCAGTAGCAGCAGCCATAGCAGCAGTAGCAGCAGCAGTAGCAGTAGTAGTAGCAGGTCGCGACAACAACAACGACTGATCAAGGAATAAGGCCAGGACACGGACTACCACTTCTTCTCGTTTCTCTCCCGAATCGCTTGACTGTCAGCATAGAACTGGTGGTCAGAACAGATAGCGAGCTTCGCAGCTGATGTCCAAAGCCTTACCAGCTATGACCATACTCTTCAGCCTGAGCTGAGCAGTCATCCGACTCATACAGAGGGGATGTGGTCGTTTTAATGTCTCGTCTCAAAGCAAGCTCGCAGTCAGGCAGTACGCCATAGTCATGCAAATGTCGGAGGTCGACACCCACACTGCGTCACAACGAGAGACACATAAGAACCATGGCATTGCGGAACGAGGCGACCGGAACAATGACTCAGAATCCGGGCATGGACCAATGGTCAGTGAGCCACTTCGGACCCAAGCGCCGGTGATTTGCAGGAAAACAGTTCAGGGCCACAGAAGACAGTAGAATGCATTCTGATGCTCAGTTCCTGGACCCGGGTCAGCGGGTCCGTAATGTGCAGTCCCTCGGGACGGGATGCATGCACGTGCAGCGCCCCGCCACGGTCTGCAGTGGGCCCACACCAGTGAAGCGTTAACCAATCGCTCTCCAATCAGCATGAGAGTCTGCAATCAATTTCACTGGAAACAGTGGAAAGACCTTCATCAAGGAATCGACAGTAGGGCCAATAGCTAGTTCAGTCACTCGCAAGGCGAAGAAAAGCTTCACAAAGAAAAGAGCTCTTCCCGCTGCGTGTGAATGAAATAATGTTGATGTTTGCCGTCGTCGCCGGACTCGCGGCACTCTTCGCCCAGCATCAGCCAGCCGGCGGACCAAAAGCATCTTCTTTGGCGCCTACTCGCAGGGTCCTCTGGTGGGACTTCGTGCGCCGACCAGACGCTATCCCATGGTCAGCCGCCTGCTCAATGCCGTGATCTACACCTATGTGGCACTCAGAATCACTCCACGCTGTTTCTGGCTCGCAAACGCGCCATGGGTCTGCACTCGGACCGCCAGAATCACGAGTCAGTGCGCAACGTGCTGATCCCCCTCTCGGACTTTGTAGGGGGCCACCTTTTCGTGGAATCCGAGGAAGGTGATGTGAGCCTTTATGTACAGAACAGCATCCGCGGACACGTGCATCCTATTACTCTTCCTTTTCTTTCGTTCGATGCACATAAGCGGCACTCGATTTTGCCTTGGTCAGGATGCCGCATGATATTAGGTACTTTTCATATCCGTGATGCTGCTAGGCTGCCAGTGCGGTCACGCAACTTGCTTCGAGCACTGGGCTATTCCCTGCACAAGGACAGCCAAGTCAGCCTCGAAGAGGCTGACGATATAGGGCACACAGCTGATTCCAGCTAGATGCCGGGGCGACGCTTCCTTCTGACTATACGATCTCAAGAGCCCTGCGCTTCGCGAAAAACAAGCACGCACTACTAATCTCTTCAGCTGGGAGCAGCCTCTGGGCCACTTTTCGCGGCTGACGAGAGTCCTGCAGCTAAGGTCAATGGCCCCATTGGTTAAGCTCTACAACATGCCGAGTGCCCCTTGCCGAGTGCCCCAGCTCGCTGTCAGTTCTGCAGGCGCTGTCTTACTTTAACTGCTGCCTTCCTATCACTCTTTGTGGCTGGCTGAATCTCGTTTGCAGATAGGCTCAGTTACAGGCAGCCTGGCTTGCAAAGGAACTAGCGCATTCTAGAGAGACCGATACGCTAGAAGCTTCAAGGCTCTTTCACTCCCCTCATCTTTGCCTGCACAGGCTAGGCGTCCGGCATCCTCCCACGAACGGTTTATACTACCAAAACCGGGAGCTCTGCTCGGTCTAGCAAGCGGAGGAGGCTCGGCCTACATGCGGGCCGCTTCATAGCCATGGCGGCCACGCAGCCTCCTTCTTCGCCTTTCATTGTCTTGAGCGATAGCACCTTGCAGTACCTCCTGTGGCTGGACGGTTCAGGCAAGTCGTACGGGGTGGAGAGCGTCGACAAGTTCAAAGGGGCTTCCCATTGTGAAAATTTTCCTCGATATTCAAACGCCTGCATCATAGCAACATGACCATAAGTGCACATGACAACCGTGAGGCAAAACTGAAACGTGTAAAACAAACTGACGTGCAAAGAAAATAGTTTCGGGCAGCAAAGGAAAACATGCCCACCGGGAAAGTGAAATTTCAATCACCCCGCCAAAAGCTGCTCAAACACTGAAGAGCAGGTTTTCAGTTGAAAGTTCACACGAAGTTAAACAGCCTCACAACGGTCGCCAAACAGTGCACTCAGCCAGCTGCTGTCAGATGCGTACGACGGTCTTTCAGTCTCTTTGAGCAACGCTGCTTAAAGCAGTCCGAGCTCACGTGGATGCACATTGGCATCTGTAGAAGCCTAAGCTGGTCTACGCGGAAGTTACAAGTAAAGTGTCTGTACACAAGACTACGCAGATTCCATCAAAGGCGTGTGTTCGCCCATGACGAAACCTTGCTTGACTCACCCAAGCGGAGGCACTTTCAAGAAGTTGAGGTCTGCAGCTCTGCTTTTAGCTGCCTTTCAAGCTTTCAAGAACATTCATGTCGGCACATGCAGAATCTCTTCAAGATTTTGCCCTTTCGAGTATTGCGATGGCCTAGTTACCATCAGGAGGATGTCACATGCCTCCAGCTCGGAGAAACCTGAATCGAAGTCCGGAAATTTTCTTGTATTGGCACCAAATTGGTGCATTCACCCATCCAAGTCAAGATGTCGCTTGCTCAAGATCCAAGATGGAGTTCGAAGGCTTTCGGTGCAAAATGCACAGCCATGTTTGCGCATACGTTTTCTTCAAGCTCCAGAAGCTATGTACAACGCCACTGTAC